GCAAACACATCTGAAGTGGAACCCACCTTCCTTCCCCAAATCTGTTTCTCCCTGGATGCTCCCCTCAGTGATGGCATCACCATCCCCACAAGGCAGCCAGCCCCCAAACAGGGCTGGGGCGTCTTGACTCTCCTCATTCCCAGATCTAATCTGTCCCAGAATCCCATCAGTTCCTCCCCCAAATCTCTCTGCTGCACACATCTCCAAGGCCCGTTTGGAGCACACTGTTCTTCACTCGGAGGGCTGCAGCCACTCCCAGAGGACCCGTCCTGCCTCCTCTCGCTCTCCTCAGTCCAGCCCTCACGTACACCTGGGGGTCCTTCTCTAATCACTGCATTCACCTGCTTTAAGCACAAGGCTACAACCCCAATCTCTTCATATCTTAAAAGTCAGAAAGAAGACAAGGATGCTTTCTGGCCCTGCCACTATTCAAATAAAACAAAATAAAACAAAAACAAACCAACAAAAACCAGAGGCCCCGGGCTCCTAAGGAATATGTTGTCCTGCCTTAGACACAGATGCGGCTGCACTCACTTCCTTTTAAACAGCAATTCCTGCTGCCCTGCCTACGCCAAACATATTTTCATTTTAAGTGTTTCAGCAATAAGCTTTTAAAAATCAGCAGTCAACGTAACAGGGTGCAGGTGCTATGGGAGCTCACGAGACGTAACAAGGTCCCAGCCCTCGAAGCACTAACAGTTTTCCTTGGAAGGCAGAAGTAACATCCTCGGCACATGTGAGGCCAAGCCGTCTTGGGAAGTCAGGCCTCAGGAACCCGGAAGGCCAGCAAGCAGCCTCCCCTCTGAATTTGCCCGTCCTCTTCTCTCACCCCTCGTGGGAAGGGGCAGTGTCTCCTGGCGGCTCAGAGAACCCGCCTCTGACATTTAGAGTTGGTGACTTCAGAGAGCGTGCAGTGGCATCTGCTTCCCCCTCGAGGCATTCTGGGCCAGCAACCCCACAAGGACCGCAGGGTGAGGCGCTACAGGCTGGGGCTGCTCCCCGTCCACCGGTCATGCTTGGTGCCGCTGCAGCCCGCTGGGTGTGAGGGCGGAGGTGAGTTCATGCTGCCCAATGCATCCCGGAGTCGTCTGTGAAAAGAAGGCAGGCAGCTGTGTAGGGAATTTCTCCTGCACCTGCCTGTCCTTGCCTGTCCTCCCCAAACTCCAACCCCCCATCAAGAGCCAGGGGCCGGTGTCTGCAGGCACAGGAGCAAAAAAGAAACCAGGGAGCAAGCAATAAGGTCCAGTTGGTCAGAAGTTCACACTTTCGTTCCACCTGGTGCTCAGAGGGAGGCACACTCATGCACAGGGCTGCTGCCATCTTGCTGAAGGCCAAACTGCTGCCTGCGATCCCTGCTGGGGCCCCTGGCGGGGTGTGAGGAGTGTGCAGATCTCAGTTCTCTGACCAATACACAGGGAGCACCTCCGGGGATGGCCGCCGCCCCACACTGATGCAGCGTGGACAAGACTGGTCCCGTCCCTGCTTTCATGGAGCCGACAATCTAGTGAGGGAGACAGACATTCAGATGGTCCTAGTGTTTGAAACATGCACAATGAGAATGTGTGTGTCTTGTATACATAAAATACCACAGAGATGTTTTTAAAGCCAGGAGAAGTACAGGGTACAGGACAGGGCTTTCTTAACCAAGTGGGCTGGAAGGTGGCATGTAAAGGGTGATGAAGTGGGGCGAGCACTCCTGCTGGAGAGAGCAGTCTAGACTGAGGCCCTGCACCGGACGGATGGGGTCCTTGGCAGGAGTGGGAAGAAGGTGGGTATGGCTGGGATGTAGACACAGAGGGGAGACGGGAGCCAGAGAGCCTGGACAGGAGGCAGGGTCATACGCTGTGCCTCACAGACCAGCTCAAGAATTCTGGACATTTCCTAAGAGCATAAGAAACCTGTGAAGAATTGATGAGCCTCAAGAGTGGCATTAAAGTGCGTGTGCTTAGAGATTAAGCGTTTTGTAGAAAATGGGTTCTAAGCAGCAAAAGTGCATGAGGGAAAATTATTTAGGAGGTTGTTGCAGTAACCCAGGCAAGAAAAGGCAGTATCTTGGACTAGCATGGTACAATCTTAGATGGAAATAGTAGGCAAATGAAACATAGGAAGGAGGTAGATTCAGCAACATGCGAAGCTTGATTGGATGTGAGTCAAGGTGAGTCCCAGGTTTTATGGCTGAGCATTAAATGAATGTTCCTGCCACTTATTGAGATAAGGGAATGGTGATGGAGGTGTGAGAAGTAGAAGGATGAACTCAAATGATGAAATGTTGAATCTGAGGTGCCTGGAAGACAGTCGAGTAGAATTCTCCAGGGATCGGAAACTTTGAGGGATTCCAGAGACAGAGTCTGACTGGGAAACAGCAGCCCAGGGCACGTTCAGGAAACTACCACAAAAGACAGCAGGACAGAGCTAAAACACAAAAAAGATAGCAGGCCTTGGACCCTGATTGGTGACACAGAAGCCAGGCAGAGCGAGCCAGCACCTCCTTGCTCGCCTGGACCTGCTCCCGGGCTAGGCAGGAAACGTGGACAGCGACTACCTGGAAGGAAAGAGGAGCTTGATGAGCAGCTGTGGATGCAAAAACCGTACAGAGGCCTCAAGGATGACGAGACCCAGGAGAATCCCAGTGAGAAACCAATCTCTCAGGCAGCAGCCAGCTGACACCCCTGGACAAGAAGGCTTGGTCCCCAAGATCACTGAGGATTTCATTGCTACCTATCAGGCTAATTATGGCTTCTCAACGATGACACGGCTTGGCTGTACTTAAAACATACTAGATGTTGCTAGCAATGCTGAGAAACCTCTGTGAAGAGAAACTCCCAAACCCACGGATCTCAAAAAGAGGGGAGGAAAAGGCTTCATGTGGAAGATAGAAATACAAATGTATATGTGACTGGTTTGCCTCCAGACATCACAGTGGAGGCATCCATACACCTTCTATCTAACTTGTCATGATTACGAGATCCTCAGACAGAAGTTAAGGTCCAGCTTTTCAAAGGTAACCAAGGAAATCTTACAGGAGACGGGCTTTGCAGTTATTTGAAGGGAGAATCTGTGGATCTTGCATTAGTGCTTTTGGATGAAGACGAAACTAGGGTAGAAATTGCATATTGAGGTGGCCGAGTGTCAATGGAAGGGGAATATGAGGCTTCAGAAAAGAAGAGGTGCAAGCAGCACAGGAAGCAGCTGTCTCTGCAGCAAAAGCAGCTGGACTGCTGGACCGTCCTGAGCGCACCATGAATGAGGGGGTCATCATCAAAGACGTTTCATCCCACGGATTGTGAGGATGGTGCACTGCTGCTGAATGAGGCTGGAGAAAACCTTTCAGGAGAGTGTTCAAGGTTTGGGCCAATTGGGAAGCTCCTTCTCTTTGACAAACACCCAGGTGGTGTAACCTCTGTGTCCTTGAGAGATGCAGAGGAAGCTGAGCATTGTATTCAAACCCTCGACAGAAGGTGGCTTGGTGGCCGTCAAATCCCTGTCCAAGCATAGGATGGCACTACAGATGACCAGGCCAAGGAGACCCCAAGAGAAAGGGAGCAAAGGCTGAAATTATGGGAGGCTTTCTTCAATGTCCTGAGGCCAACAGAGGCAATCAGTGTTCAAATTCCATCTTTGCTTCAAAGAGCAGGGTCTTCTAGAGTAAGGCATTTCCAGAGCATCCTAGCACACCCAGGACGAATGCTCAAGAAGCAGTAACTAACATGGCATTTAAAGAACCTATACATGGAAATATACTTGAAAAAACAAGATGGGGGAGATTTTGAAGAACATGCTTCTGAAAAAGATGCTAAAGAACACGGCACCAAAGAGTCTGAAGAAGGCAGTTCCAAAAGGCTGAAGAGAATGGTGTCGAAAGAGAACCTAAAATAGCGAGCCTCAAAAAACATTATGAAGAGAATGGCTCTGAAAAAAGTTTGAAGGTGACCCTGAAAAGAAATCTGAAGAGGACAGCCCCAAAAAGGGTCTGAGGAAGATGTCTTGGAAAGAGAAGCTGAAGACTGCTCTGAAAGAGTTTGAAGACAAGTCCAAAAAAGGGGAAGAAAATGGTGTTGAAGAAGAATTAGAAGGAAATGACCCTGAAAAATCAGAATTTGCAGATGGCTCTGAGGGAGTGTTTGATGAGGAATGCTCTGAGAGTGTGAAGATTCACATGAAAAGGAAGAAGAGGCGCATGAAAAAATATCTGATGATGTGTCAGATGAAAAAGAGGAGGAAGAAAATGCCGTGGAAAAGGGTGTGAAGGTGCTGACGAAGAGGAGAAAGGTGATGTAGGTGAAAACTTGTTCAAAGGTGATGATTCCAACAAGGTGTTTGATGAGCAGGATCCAATGTGAAGTTGTACGATGAGTCTGATGAGAAGCGGACTGTGGGTGGTGCTGGAATGTTAAGGAAGAAGGGCCCCATCCACAGCTGCTCTGTCCTCAGTAGTAACGATGATGAGGAGGAGGAAAACGAAGAGGAGATTTAATCTCTTAAACTTTCTTTTAGGGAGACACCTCCATCCACATGTGCCTATGCTTCCGGGTAATTGTTAGCAGTGTTATGTGAATGTGTGCACAGTGACAGGATGCCATCAGACTAATGCTTGGAAATTTTCATTGTAATTGGCACTCGGTGATTTAAAACATATGTTAAACGGCTGTTCAATTAAAACTTCATAGTCATAATGCAAGTAAAAAAAAAAAAAGATGGAAGAAGTAAGTTCAAACACAGGACTAAAACACTAGCTATGAAAAGATTCAACTTTTCTATAAAAAATAGAAACTCTCAAGATGAGTTATGAAATGAAACAAAAACCGAACAAATCCAGCTTCATGCCAAGAGAGCTATCTGAAAACAACATTACCCAAGAAGGTTGAAAATAGAGATGGAAAGATATTAGAAAAGAAAAGAAAGGCTGGGTGAATAATGGTATCAGTCAGAATAGATTCAATAGAACTAGCTGATCCCTGAAATACTGGACTGGCAATATGAAACCCTGAAGACACTCTCTCGTGCACATTGGTGAATATATCCAGGTAACTCTGTAGTCATTTCATCAGCTCACAGCTTCATCTTCTCTTTGCACGTGCTTGTGTCTCCTCGTGTGTTGCTCATGTGATGGGTACGTGGCACAGAGTGTTATTGCCCAAAGTACCAATCAGGAGTGCAGGGGATGGGCTCTTCATTCCAGATGGTTTTCAGTCTCTCAGCCCAGGATGCCACCATCCCCTTTCTTTCTTCTTCTGATGCAATCTCAGGAGCAAAACTGATCTGAGGGGCAAGGACTTTAAATCCACAGAAGTGCAGTGTACCATGCTACAGCCGCAAAGAAAGAAGAGAACTGATTAGAAGCCACACCCTTTATATATCATTCAGTTAAATAATTAAAGAGGGGGCTAGCCCTGGTGGTCCAGTGGTTAAGTTCGGTGCACTCCGAATTGGCGGCCCGGGTTCAGTTCCCGGGGGTGGACCTACACTGCTCTGGTAGCAACCACGCTGTGCTGGTGGCCCACATACTAAAAAATAGAGGAAGACTGGCACAGATGTTAGCTCAGGGCGAATCTTCCTCAGCAAAAAAACCCAGTAATAAAAATAATTAAAGGGGGAAATGGCATGAAACAAACCTTCAAAGAATATTGAACAACTTTAATGCTACAAGGTAACCGAAAACAACTGAGCTGCCCTAGCCTCAGGATGCGGCCTCTATCAGGGAGGTGAGAACTCTGGGCAGCTGGGAGTTCCAAACTCTATTCTGACCAGTGAGATTAATCTGTAATCTTTGCTACTGATGCAGACAATGAACATTACGGTTTTGATTGATTAGACAAATTATGGTACATTCATACAATGGATTATTCCAGAAGTGATTATTACAGCATAATGTGCCACCACAGAAGGTTGTTCAAGGTAAGTGTTAAATGAAAATAAGAAATTTGAAGCAGTATTTGTGGTATACCATTTATGTGAAAAAAAAAAAAAACATAAACCTAATAATAAAAAGTATATATGTAAGAACATATATGGGCTGCAAGGAAATACACCAAATTATTAAAAGTGATTATTTTTAAGGGGGGATTAAGAGGACTGACTTTCTATTTTTATATTTCACAGTCTCATTTTTTTTTTTTCTATAATATGTACTTCTGCAAACTGAAAAAAATATAAAGATTTTTTTGAATAAGAGGAACTGAAGCTTGGCTAGCAGCACGTAAGAGACCAGGTGGCAGGTGGAGCAGAAAGTCCAGGCCCGTGAATTACCGTCTCCCTCAGCAGAGCATCACTGAACGGAGTCGCTACCCTGTCTCCTCTCAGAGAAGACCGCTTTCTCTAAGAACATCACTGTCCTCCGTCTGCATCCTTCCCCGGAACCCACACCCTGGACCAGGCCTGCCTTACGAGGGGTAGCTGCGGGGCAAGAGGCCCACACACCACTGTCTACATTTTCAAAGAGAGTTCACGACTGTTAAAGGTGTGACCTCCTCCTCCATCCACAAACGTCCCTTCATAACAACCTGGAAGAACAGTTCCCACCAAGGTTCCCCTCGGGGTCTCCTGGGAGTCCTGTATCAGGATGTGGCCGCCTGACCAGAGCCGGCTCCCTTTTCTCCCTGCCCCCAGCTCTGTCCTTCAGCACGGTGTGCTTCACACGCGGACACCCCAGGCTGCTCAAATGCGCTTTGCCCACTGCTTTCCCCTCCAGACAGCCATCCTCGGCCGCCCCTTGGGCCCAGGGTGCGCACACAGGCAGCATGGCATCCACCTCGGAGAGTGGACTGCAGGTACCTGGAGGGGGGTGTGGGCTCTGGGGAGGGGGCACAGGCCCTGGCTCCATGGACCCCTCACCTGTGGTGGGCATGAGACTGTCCCGAATGCCAGGCCCAGGGCACCTCTGGCCAGGGTTCAAGGGCGACGCTGCCTCCACAAAGCTGAGTCAGTGTGGACGGCTGTACGCCTCCCTCATTACACACATAGGGCCACCTTGGGCGACTCTGTTTACCACAGAGCAGACATCAGCTAACCAGATTTGCCTTAGCTTCTGCCCAAACAATATCAAAGGCTATCATTATAACATGTGTTTTCCATACCGGCCAACCTTTTCAGTGCTGCTAAGTAAAAAATTAAAAAGGGCAAGATGTTCTAATTTCCTGTATCCAGGGGGAGGCAGAGTGGTCTGGGTTTCAGGCTTCTGTCCCATCTCATTTGACCCCTGGGGGACTGTGGGGGAGTGGGCGGCGGGGCAGCCACGGTGGAGTGGGTACCTGGAGGGGCCACAGGAAGTATCGAAAATCTCCGCTGACTCCGGTTTTTGTGTACATCTCGGCCGTGCTGCCCGTGGTGAGCGAAAGCAGGGCCAATTTATCCTGCAGGAGAGAAAGCAAATGCCTGTGTGGGCTCCAGAGGAGGAGATAAACACTCGCTATCATAACTCCAGCACCAAGGTTTCTAAGGAGCAGCAGGGCAAATGTGAGGTCAGGCCCTCCAGGGATGGACAATTGTAACGTTCCCGTCTCTGTGCAGCCCAGCTCCAGGCGACAACTACATCCAATGGAAGGAGCAGAGGGGACAATCAGAGGGACTGACCAAGCGAACAGAAAGCTCTGAGGTGCCCGACTTCAGGTTGAGTGCAGGCTTCAGGGACGCCCCGGGGGAAGAGGCTGAGGCTGAGGCTGAGGCGCTGACCTGGGGTGGGCTGTGAGGGCTGGATGGGGTGGCGGGTGGTGCCGGCACAAAGGACCACTCAGTAAACGGCATCTTTGTGAGTCAGTGTTTTTCTTATATGCACTTATTCTTTGAGGCTTATGGAGTTTAAAAAATCAACTATTTTAGTAAGAAATTCCTAGCTACTTATACTGCACACCTACCAGGTTCCGTGCAGGTGTCCACCTGCGATGCAGGCATTGTGTTACCTTGTTTTCAAGGCAGGAACATGAAGCTCAGAGGTGAACTGCTGCGAGGCCAGGGCTCGCCTCTGTCGGCAGCAGACCCCTCTCGGGAGCCAGGGCTGACCAGTGTGCGCCCACGTCAGCCCTCCCCCAAAACTAGCCCAGGCCCTCCCTGGCCACGCACTAGTTAGCCATGGACGTGGCTGTGTCCCTCACTAGACAAAGAGCCCCATGACTTCAGAAATGACACTTTTCTCACCCGTGTTTGGAACATGGGGCTTTGCACATAGTTGGTGCCCAATCAATATTTGTTTAAATAAAAAGCAAACTAAAAATATAACTTGATGAGATGCCCCTGCCCTCCCCAGTCCTAGTGGTTCTTACCCCAGAGCACGTACCTTCAGGAAGCCGGAGTCGTAGAACCCTGGGATGTCGAAGGCGAAGCCCTGGCACAGCACCCTGTCCATCCAGCCCTTCAGGATGGCCGGTACGCTGAACCAGTACAGCGGGAACTGTGGACGCAGCGGCAGGGAGACACGCTGCAGGCGGCTCAGGCTCCTGTGTGAGTCTACCCGGCGATCCAGGACTCCCGCCCCCTCCCCTCCCCGGGGGCTGGGCAGGCGAGGGTAACCCGTGGGGCAGCACGAGCGGGGCGGGAACATTTCTTCCCGTTCCCTCCGAGACACGCAGTGTGGACATGGTGATGTTGGGGTGGGTGGGTTGACAGTGGTGCTGGTTACTGTTATAGGCGGCTCTGCATCCTCCAGTGACAGTCCCCTTATGCTGGTCCCCGAGCAGGTGGGGAGGTGCTGGGAAGCTGTGGGGGACACTGGCTCTGTGGCAGCAGTCCCTGTGACCGATCCAGTCATGGGGGACAAGAGGAAGGGTGTGGAAGAGAAGGTGCCCCTTTCCATGCCTGAGGGTGAGTTGCTGGCATCTGGGAGTCAGACTGAGTTCAGTTCTGAGAAGCTTCGGATTTTGACACAAGCTAAAGCCTTATCCTCAGACTCCACACACCAGCACTAAGATCTCCCTGAAGGCCACTCTGGTTCCCAGAGAAGCCCTAACACTATATCCAACAATATCATCGATGAAAGGAACACAGACAATAATCTGTTACCAAAGTGGAGAGGAGCCCATGGTTCATGTGCTTTTACTATAAATCTAACTCAGGACTTGGCCTTGAAATCCACGCTCCACAACCTACTGCTGTGTGACGTTAGCAAGTTACTGAACCTCTCTGTGCCTCCTTTTCCTGATCTGAATCAGGCTACTACTAGTTTCCAACTCACAGCCTTGTGGTGAGGATTCAGTGACATATTGCAGTGCCTAGAACAGAGTCAGTGCTCAGAGACTGGTGAGCTATAACAGTAGTAGTAGTAGTAGTAGTGATCAATGAAACTTATTAGTGTTGAATAAAAAAAATAAACTTACAACGTAGACTCTCTGGGCGAAGTATCAGGAAAAGAGGGAAGGCCGGAAAAGAAAAGATGTGAAACAGGGTAGAAAAAAGAAAGACCATTATAGAAAGAATAGGCCTTGGCTTGCTTCAGCCATCCAGTTACATAAGCGGAGGGGAGGACCCAACAGCAGGGAGACACAGGCTGCAGCCATCTCAGGCTCATGTGAGTGTAGCCGGTGATCCAGGACTCCCACTGCCCTGGAGGAGGTGGGAGGAAGGAGGGGCAGCTGACCCCAGGGAGACAGGAAGAGAAGAGCGAGGGAGCTGAGCGTGGTTCTGCTCGGACCGTGTGCCTGATTGCTGGGGCCAGTCTTGCTATAGACCCATGGTCCTGGCATGGCCATAGTAAGTGGAAGATAAACCATATGGCCATCCAGGTCTCAGGACTGTTACCCACCCATGTGTAATGAGGATGAAAAAACATCCTGCACTTTGACCAGAGTATCAGCTCAAGGTCACTTGGTAAAGGCAGGGATGGAGCCAGGAGGGGTGTGTAGAGGCAGCCTAGGTTGGGCAGAAGGGAAGGGGTGAAGCATTCCCTCCTCCCATATGTGCAGGTTTATTTTATGAAGGGTTCGTGAACTTCACCTTTCAGGATGAGTTGTTTCATCTGGAAACTGGTCACATTCCTGCCCCTCACCCCACATGTGGGCTCAGCGCCCCCGTGAGCATGGTGGTCTTGTTCTCCAGCCCACTCCCTGCCCTCAAGCAGGCTGGAAAAGAGAGAGAGTCTGGACCAATCAGATCCTTTCCTTGGAGATTCTGGATCTAGAGACTCCAGTCCCTTGTGTGTAGCGAGGGAGAACAGAGCCAACGTGCAGAGGGAGAGCAGCAGATGAGACACAGAGCAACAGAGAACAGAGGTGTCCAAGCCTCTAGGTCCACTATCGCTGAAGCCCAGCTGGTCTGTCCTTGGGTTCCAGGGAACCCAAGTGACCAGGGCCCTTCAAATGAATTCCCTCTTTTTTCTAGTTTGACTTGGATTTCCGTCAACCCAATGACTCCCAAAAAGCACGTGTTTATTTTGCTGCCAGGCTCCGGTCACCTCCATGACAGCACGCCTGTCTAGCAGTGGCGGGAAGTGGCCGTGGTCAGTTACAGCCCATAGAAGCAGTGTCCTGGGCGGGCTCCTCCTGCAGTGAACCACCAGTCTGGGACAACTTGTGAACGAATAACGGAAGGTGGGCGAGTGAGGCAACCAGCGAGAGGAAGGAACAAAAGAAGACTCTCCTCTTAATGATTAGGGTATTCAAGGCAGGAGTTGCATTTTACCCGAATTACCTTGATAAATACTCGTGTAGACGAACCTGGTTTTCACGCAGCCTCTGCATGTCTGGGGTGGGAATGGGAGGGGAAGGAGGCAATACCATCCGCATGATTCAGACATTTCGTGGATCGCTGGGCTAAAGGAAAGTCCGTACTCTTTACTGGGGGTCAGGACTCTGAATGAGTGATAGTGACTACGTGGATCTTCTTACCCAACTGGATGTAAATAAGTGTGCTGGAGTGCTAAAACCATTAATGCCACGTCTACGAGCATGAAACTCAGCATTTGGAAACAGTTTGACATAGAATGAATCTAATTCATTATACTGATTAGAGGAAAAACAAACCTGAAGTATCACTAGATCAGCTTCCTGCACCTTTTTCTGCTCGTCAATTATGTCGCTGGTCAGAGACCTCTTCTTGCAGGCTTCATATGCCTCCACCCCATAACTGAAGAACTCAGGATTAGAGAGAGCACCTGGAGAGGAAGAGGCCAATGCTCTCGCTCTCAGCTGAGCGTCCAGGGCCCATCCCGGCCGATCCCACTAGCATCACTGTTACCTGGACTCCCCCCAAGCAAGTCACCAGACAGTCACTGAGACCCGACCAGGCCCCTGGCCCTGGGGTCAGGCTATGGAAATAAAGAGAGAGAAAGCTACCGTCTTATCTTCAAGGAACTTACCGTCCTTATCTTCAAGGAGTCCTTATCTTCAAGGAACTCGAAGTCCAGTGGAAGTAGATAAATAACCAAATGATTAACATGCAAAACAAGATTAGTCAGCTAGCTCAGTCTAACATTGTGGCCAGATAAGCCTCCCATGCCAGAGTCGAGATGCATGTGGTCTAACTCTGGAGTATAACAGGTACAGCGGTGGCCCAAAGGGGCAGTGACCAGCTCTGCTTGGGTGGGTTACAAATGCATCCCTGGGGATTGCCTTTCTGAAGCGGGCTTTGAAGACAGAGCAGGAGGTCACCAGGCAGCCTGGAGCACTGGAGGGAACAGGAAGGACGTCCTGGGCAAAAGAGGCAGAGAGGGCAGGGTGTCCACTGACCGGGCCAGCCCAGAAAAGGGCCACCAGGAGCACATCTGAGGACCTGGGGCGAGAGGCAGGAGGGCTGCAGGTGATGTGAGTGGAGCGATGGGCCAGGTCTCGTAAGCCTTGCTGAGAAGCTTAAACTTTTCCTGCACATGTGGAGCCATATGGTTTAAGCAGGAAAAATACATAAATGCTCCGACTTGAGTCTGGAACAGCTGACTGTAGCAGCAGCGATTCAAGAGCAGGCCTGGTGGGGAAGGGTGAGGTTGGGCAGGAGCAGTGGGTGGGAGAGGTGTTTGGGGCTAGAACTTCCAGCACCACCTCCGGCAACTAAGAGGAAAGGTAAGTTATTTTGATCCGCGCCTTTAATCAGGGTCCTGTCAATGAGACGCATTCATCAGAAGGCATTAATCAGTACTAGTAACAGGTTACTAGTACTTCTCCATGACTCAGGACTTCCCACCCACCAGGTGCTGTGCTCCACACATGACCTTTCCTACCTTCATAACAGCCATGAGTCGGGGTAATTCCCCCGAGGAAACCAAGACTGAAGAGAGGCTGAGGGACTAGTTCAATGCCACGGGGTCCTAAGTGGCAGCAGAGTGGGACGACGATGGAGAATACACTGGTAACTGCTTTATGAAGCATAGACTATCTCTAGAAGGATATGGCGCAAATGGGCACACTGTGATCTCGGGGACAGAGAAACTGGCTGGCTGGGGCACAGGGATACGAAAGACTTGTACTGTAGACTCTTTTACCTTGAGAATCGTATATCACATGCAATGATTAGCTTTTTTCAAAACATTTTTTAAACTAAAGAAACACAAGATGAAAGTTTTAAAAAAACAGAGCGCTTATGCCGTGACTCACCAGTGATATCCTTCCTCGTGGCCCTCGGCTCAAAGTCCATGGCGTAGAGATCAGAAACGGTGACGGTGCAGCCCTGCTGGCTCAGTTCATGCACCGCCACTCTCTTCAAGGATGCATTGAAAGACCTGGGTTCTTGGTGTGCATAAACGATGAGCACTTTCTTCCCTAAATCCGGAGAAGAAATAATTCCTCTTGAAGAGCAATTCCTCTTAATCAAAATTCAATGAGGACTAAGACGAAAATGAAATGTGTAGGTGGATCACAGCAGTTGAAGCTAAGAAACCTTTTTTATGGGTGACAGTTTTAAAATAATGAGCATTTTTTAATCCATATTAAATATCATAGCTCATCATTACTTGCATTTACTAACACAAATATACAACACGTCAAATTACGATTCCTCAAAAACAACACCACTAAGTTCTTTAAAAGCCCGACCTATTTTGGTTATCCTCTATGAGAAGTTTTAGCCCTGTTCCCTAATACCAAAATAAAAAGCTACCATAATTAATCTCCTGTGCTAACCCTGCACATTGGCAGGCGTCAGCTACTGGCACACAGCTCTGCTTTCTTCTCCAGGCCCTTCGAAATTTGACACTTAAACAAGGTAAGAAAAATTGGACTCAGTTCCAGGGGGAAGCAGGGCCCACATGGAGCCCCGCTTTTCGGTGGTGAATCTGACAAGACGCTCTAAGAAGAGTCAGGTCTTACAGGTCCTGGCTGTGCATTAATACCAGCAGCCTCTGAAGCAGAATTTTCCTCGTTTATAAGATTCTGTGAGATTATGTATTGATTTCTTCTGGGAGGCAGCTTTGGTGATTTGCTTCACTTTGCCCTGGTAACATCGAAGACTAAAATGTTTTAAGTCCTGATTTAAATTTTTCAGTTTAGGCCTTTAAGCAGAAAATACAAATGTTAATTTGAAGCAAACAGCTTTGGGACACTCAACTGAGTGTAAAGGTTGAATTTCATGAGTTAGATTAATGACCAACATTCTTAACTTCTCAGACTCATTTGTTATATAAGCACTCTACTTGGGGGCTTATTAGAATGGATACAAATGAAATATCTACACCAGTGGTTCTCAGCTGGGGGTAGTGTTGCCTCCCAGAGGACATTTCACAATGTCTGGAGACATTGTTGGTTTGTCTGCTAGGCAAGAAGGGTGCTATTGGCATCTGATAGAGACCAGGGGTGCTGCTAAACATCCTGCAATGCACAGGACAGCCCCCACAACAAAGATTATCTGACCCAAAATGTCAGCAGTGTTGTGGTTAAGAAACCCTAATCTACACTATAATGTGTCAAAGAAGGTGGATCTTTATGTTCTGAAATGAAAAGATTTTCATGTCACATTGTTGAGAGAAAAAAGAAGTTGCAGGATGGTGTGCATGTGTGTGTTTGTGTGTGTGTGTATGTGTGTGTCATGAGCAGAGACAAAAGTAAAGATGGAGTCATACTGAATTTTTAACTCTGGTTACTCCAGGGGCTCACTTACTCAATAACTATTTATTGAGCACCTACTATGCCTTGGGGATCATTCTAGAGACTAGAGGCAAAGACAGGATAAGCATGTCCCTTACTTTCAAGGAACTTACGTTCTGGTGGGGTTGAAAAGGACTGTGGGAATTAATAAAAGAAACCTTAACTAAATTGAACTCGAGAAGGCCTGCAGGGGGAGCTCTCATGCCCTATCACACATCATCAATTACACCAACCAGGAAGAGACAGAGGCTTGCATCTTGGACAGGAAATACAGCTACTTCCCTACTGAAGGAAGATTTCTGTCCCCACCCGCAACAGCCCAGCCAATGAGAAATTACCAGCCCAGCCAATGAGAAATTACCAGCCCAGCCAATGAGAAATTACCAGCCCAGCCAATGAGAAATTACCAGCCCAGCCAATGAGAAATGCTCCAGCCCAGCCAATGAGAAGCTGTTGACACTCTGAGCTGTTACTTTCCTCCAATGGACTTTCCTTTAGAACAGCCCCTCCCTATTCCCCCTTTTTCTCTATAAAAGCAGCTCCTCCTCTTTGTTGGATTTACATATGGTTTGCCAAAAGCAGACCCATCCTGAATTGCAATTCTTTTAGCTATTTCTGAATAAACTCGTTTTGAGGCTTTTCAAATTAACAGGACAATAACATATATAAGAAAATACAAAACAAGAAAATCCCAGATACTGATTCTGTAACCATGGACACTTTAGGGTTGTTTGGATTTTTTATAACAATGTATTCAATCTCTAATTAAAATTTTAAGAAGTTTACTCCATAGCTAATAATCACCTGCCATGTTCTAGGAAGATGGATTTTTTTCTCTCTGAAAACTGCCAAGAGGAGGCTCTGCTGTTAATCCTGGGCACAGAAGGATTCGATGTAGCGGGGCCCCAGGCTTTCAGGTGTGGTTGCTCTCCTCAGTGACCCCAACAATCTGTAAGAGAAAACGAACACTCAGGGAAGTGGGGAGATGCAATGGTGAAGTCGAGGTACTGACTCCAGGCCTCACTGCCGCTTTGTGAAGAACATGAAAACATGTCAGAAGAAAGACTTCTCAAGAGAGGCAAGGAACCCTCCGGAGATTTAGGCCTCAGAGGACAAATCATGCAGGGTATCCAAACCAATACTTTTTTTTTTTTTGAGAGGACTCAGAACCTTCTGTGAAGGTGGCCACAGTGAAGAGGTCCTGCGAAATGAGACATCAGATAGCAAGAGGACTCAGGCCTCTCCATACTTCCTCCCTCTCCCAAGTATTCCCCTCCGATGATCACTGTAGCTGAATAGATAACGGGCAGGGGTACTGGTGGGAAATTCATAGCTACCATGTTTACCAGAGTCTACAGAGCCCCAGCATGGCTCAGAAGAGCAAGAGAGACCAGTATATATGTGTGATGGCTGGCACATAATAAAGCTCTGGAAGAACGTTAGTTCTCCCTAGAGGGCCTCAAAGGCACAAGGGAGGCCGCAGTCCTCACCCCTGGCTAGCCCAGCCCACAATAACTGGCTTCATATGGAAGACATGGTGCCTCCAACAAAGCTGCTCCCACTGCCAGAACCAACCACTCAGAGCCTGGGACCCGGGGCCAGTATGGGGACGCTGCAGGATGCCTGTTGTGTCCAGATGACAGTTTTAATATATCAGCGCATCTTTGATGCATGATAACACAAAGAACAGAGAGACAGACATCCGGCTTATCCATGGCCATGACTGGAGTTTGGAACAGAGCCTGAATTAGCTCCTTCCTGGGCCTGTCATACCTCCAGCTGTCCAGGAGCATCAGGTAAGGGGCTGAGATATGCAGAATACTGCCAAGAAGTGAGGGCAGGGGCCAGGGGGCAGGGGAATGGGCTGTACCCCAGGCTGGGTGCCCTGAGGGCAAAAAGGAAAAGAGTTTAAATAATTGTGGCTGGAGCTGAGCTGGGGGCAGGCAGGCACTTAAAGTGGAGAGGGAGCAAACAGCTCTCATCAGACAGAAGGTGGAAACTCCAAACACCTTTATACCCTAAAGGTGAGTTTAAGTCCTTTCCCATTGGCTTAAATTGACTATTGATTGAACAGTTAGGAGCCCGCCTCTGGCTACCCGACATCCGCTCTCTTGTTCTTTAAGAAGAGTCTCTGAATTTATTCCAGTGTCAGTGTGCCCAGCTAAACACTACATTTCCCAGCCTCTTGCACTCAGGGGTGGCCAATGGGGTATAAGCAGAGGCCACTGGGTGGGGCTCCTAGGAAGTATCCTTAAAGGGGCTGACTTAGCTGGGGGTGTGGGGGCATACCACTTTGGCCCTTCCCACTGGCCTTCTGAGATGGACTGTGGAGTGATAGCTAGGGCTCAGTCAGCCATCTTGCTATCCTGAGAGTAGAGGCTATGGACTGAGGATGGTAGAGCATAAATATGTAAGGAACCTGGATTCCTGATGCTTTCTTGGAGCTGTGAGATGGTTCTGGATTGCCAACCTCCAGACTTCTTTACATGAGAGATCAAATTCTGAATTGTTTAAACCATTGGAGTTGACTCTCCATTACTAGCAATGACTGGGTCGCAATTCCTCACCAATCTACTCATTCATTCAGCTGGGCCACCAGCCTGTAGGAGGGCTCACCCTCTGGCCAGGTACTGCACTAGGTGCTGAGGCCGCAGTAGTGAACAAGACAGGTGAGAATAGAACTTTATACTCTTGGGGTGGGGAGATGCAGACAAAGAAAGCAACCATAAAGATCTACATAGTGATAAGTACTAGTAATAATGCTAAGTAATAGTGACAGTGATAAGAAAATAAAGTACTTTAGTGGATAAAACAGCAGGAGTGTGTTTGTTTTTTTAGGTAGGCAAGTCCAGGCAAGTATCTCTGAGCAGGGCTGTGAATGATGATACGGACCAAGCCATGCAAAGATCTGGGGGAACAGAGGTCCAGGCAGAGAGAAAAGCAAGTGTCAGAGGTGAGGTGGAAACTGGCCTGGAGTTCAAGAAACATCAAGAAAGCCTGTCTGACTGGCCTGTGGTTAAAAAGAAGAGTTGGGGGGTGGGAGATGCAGTCAGAGAGGTGGGTGGGGTCTGTAGGACAGGCTAAGGATTTTAATCTAAGCCCAACAGAAAGCTGTCGGGAGCATCTTAAGGGGGAGAGTGATAGGACCTGATGTAGCCGGAAAAACCCGGGACCCTGTCACTGTAGCCGAATCAATGAACACAAACCAGGGATCGAGGAAAAGAAAAATGGTTTAATTTTGCCAGCAAAATGAGGCTGCTGTGGGCTCATGCCCCAAAATCCAGTCCTCCTGAGGCATAAGGAGTTGGGGTTTTTAAAGGAAAGTCTGTGGGAAAGAATGTACTGTCTAACCATTTGTTGGGGAAGTATATTGTGGGGTTCCAGACCTCCGGCGCCAGGCCAGCTGTTATTCCTGTCTACAGGAGATTTAGGGCTCCATCAATCAATCTTCTCGAATCCCCCGAAATTTGGCCTTGGGGAGTGGACGGCAACTGCCGCCAATTAACGATTACAGTTTACAAGGTTTTAGGTGGGGGAGGGGAGCTGCGGCTTGGCAGTTCGGAGTCCTCCCATCAGCCTGCATTCAGCTGAGTTAGGGAAGGTGCAGGGGTCCTCTGTTTGTCTATCCCTGTGACGAATGGTGGATTCAGTGCCAGGAACCGGGAGTTGGGAGCTTCAGCTTCTTGATAATTTCGAGATCTCAGTCTCCCTGTAACAAACCTCAAGAACTGGTAATTAGCCCGAGTTTCAGTTTGTAGCCCCCTGGGCTTTTAACAATTTATTACCTCCACTTGCCTTGTGGAATTCAGGGACACAAAGGGTAAAACAACCAATATCTGCAAGTGAATGTAACTTAGAGAAGCAGGGAAGGGGGAATGAGCGCTTGTTGGTTTTAACCCCATAAATGCTGGGTTCAGTGCAGGGGAACAGACATCAGGGCCGGCATCACTGATTACCTTTAAAAAGGTTACTGCGTCCTGCAGGTTCACCTGCAGGTTCACGGGACACCTTATCCCCTCCCGCTGGGGGAGGACCCAAAGACATTTTGGTTTGGATCAAATGCTTTAGTTCTAATGCCTACAGTAAGGCACGCATCCTTCTGTATCCCCATGCCTCTCCATTCCCTATTGTTTTGCTTGGCCCAGTTTACACAGCATCACAGGCCTGGCCACCTGAGGCATTTGAGCCTGTGACTCCCCACCTAGTCCAATTCTCTTAGTTGTACAGAATAAGAAACTGAGGCCCAAGAAGTAACAGACTTGTCCAAAATAAGAGAAAAGACTCAGATCAGGCTCTAGACTCGCTGCTGGTTCTTCACTTCTGTGTCCTTCGCCTTCCTCAGAGCTCCACTCCACAGCAGTAACAGTTTTCTCCTTTGTTAAGTACTATGCACTTACCCACGTTTAGAGGAAAAAGGAAGCATGCGGTTATTAAACTACATATACCACATCCAATGGGCTCTGATATTTTTGATGCACATTATTTCATCTTAATCTGCATCCAGAAGCTATTTTATGATGTTTTCACTTTATTTCGTATGCCTTTTTTCCATAGGGTCAGGCCCCATGCCTGTCATTCCTACGTGGTTGACACCTCGTTTATGACTTGTTTTACCATTTTCATGAGACTCCATGCCCCTATTTACTCAATCGGCTCTGGCTAGGAGTGAAGGAATTTACCTCAGGAGGTGATCAATGACTTTACTCTCCTGCCTACACGTTCCTTGAGGCATACCAAACTTTGGAATGCAACGACACATCTCACTCATCCGCCCCCATGCCCTAGTCTTTGAGGCTAACCACATCACCTAATACTTTCTCTTTTGACATTTCTATAGAATAGTAAAAATAGCTAAAAATAATATAGATTGGCCCCACACAGACATTTAAATGCAGCTCTTTACTGCTCATGGGTCCTGTCCCCATGCTGAACACGAAATAAAGGTGCACAAACAAACCAGCAGCTTGTGTCTGAAAACTCTTTTTCGACGGGTGACTCAGCAGCCCCACATCAATGCTAACAGCTAGATAAGATTTCACAAGGTAGCAACACCACTGTCTGCATGCCCATTTGTGACATTTCTCTATTCCTGGGCACTTAGATTATTTCCATTCTTTTTCCAGAACAAAAATAGCACTGCTAGAAGCGTGTGTTATTTAATACACGTTCCCTTTCATGTATTTCTTTGGCTGATATTTTCAGAGAGATTAAAACTTAAAGAAGCAGATTTTTTTAGGTTCTGTTACAGACTGCAACAATATCCTTGACAAAAGCAGAGGGCGCGGTCAGGGCAGCCCTGGGCGCCGCCTCGGCCTAAATCCTGGCACCCCCTTTACAAACTGGTCTTGTGCTCCTTGTCTCCTCGTTGGTAATACGCGGGCAGTCACGGCACCGACTTCACAGGGTGGAGGGCAGATGAAGTGAGAGGGTAAGCACCTATACGGGCCCAGCATGGCGCTGGCTCCGGAAGAGGTAAGTACAGTCCCAGTTGCGAAACGTTCAACGCCTGCCGAGACAAGAACCACGGGGAACACATGTTCCCAGTCTGGCTGGGAAGTGAAAATCGGCGACCTCTCCGGCCCTGCAGTCTCTGCCGAGAGCAGGCCCGGGGAACTGTCCCTCCCAAGTTCTGGGTCCCCGGCGGTTGGAGGCACTCACCCTCCAGAAAGCGGACGGCCAGGGAAGTCTGGAAGACTGGACGCCCTGGAAGTCCAAGACTCGGACCTGCGCCGCCGGAGGGTAGCTGTGGGCGATCCCGCCACGTGTCGGCCGCGCGGAGCCGCGCACTCGCGCTCAGCGGTTGGGAGCGCTGCGGAGGCCGCACTACAGCCCGGCCGGCGTGAACTGGGGCTGCCGGGGCTCGTCCGCCCCGCCCCCGGCCTCTTGCCTCCACTCAGTGGCGCCTCTCAGCCCCGCCCCGTGAGCTCCGCCCCGCCCACTCCCCCTTTCCAAGGTGGCCCTCCGCCCCTCCCGCTGAGCCTCGCCCCGCCCACTCCCCCTTTCCGAGGCTGCGCTCCGCTCCGCCCCGCCCCGTGAGCTCCGCCCCGCCCACTTCCCCTTGCCAAGGTGGCCCTCCGCCCCTCCCACTGAGCGTCGCCCCGCCCACTACCCCTTTCCGATGCGGCGCTCCACCCCGACTCCTAGGTTCGGCCCCACCCGGAGAGTCTCCCTTTCTGAGGCGACGCTCCTCCCTGTCCGCTGAGCTTCGCCCCACCCGGAGACTCCCCCTTTCCGAAGCGACGGTCCGTCCGGACCCTGGAGCTCCCACCCCGAGACTCACCCTTTCCGAGGCGACGCTCCTCTCTGTCCCCTGAGCTCCGCCCCACCCCGAGACTCCCCCTTTCCGAGGCGGCGCGCCTCCCTGGCCTCTTTGAGGCGACGCTCCGCCCCGCCCCGCCCCTTGAGCCCTGACACCTGAGGCTCCACTGTGCCACGTCCAACTCCCTTATGTTGGAACAGGACGTGGATTGTCTCCGGGCAGGTGGCGACTGGGGAGCACCCAGTGCTGGGAAGAGGGGGCGCCCTCCTCCCTAGGCAGGTATCCAGGTTTAAAAATGAAGGTCCATGGCTTAACACTTAGCCATAAAAAGTAATGAACTGTTGATACACCCAACAGCATGTGGGAAGCTCCAGAGAATTATGCTGAGTGAAAAAAACCGAACTCAAAAGTTTCCATACTGTATGATTCCATTTATGTAACATTCTTGAAATGACAAATTATAGAAAGGGAGAAAAGATGAGTAATTAACTGCCAGGAGTTAGGGAGGGGTGGCTGTGGCTATAGGAGGGCAATAGGAGGGACCCTCGTGGTGATGACCCTCGTGGTGATGAAAATGTTCTGTATCTGGCTGTATCCATGTCAGTATCCTGGCTGTGATATTGTGCTGTAGTGTGGCCAGATGGTTTCATTCGGAGAAGCTGGATAAAGGGCACGTGGGATGTGTCTGTTATTTCTTACAACTACACGTGAATCTACCATTTTTTTTTAATTAAAAAAAAAAAAGAAGGTTCAAGGCCAAAGATATCCCCTAGAAGGCGGAAAGGTACTGAGCCAGAGCCTGTGGCTGTGTGTGAGGGGGAGGGGTGCTGGCGAGCAGTTTGGGCTAATTCTCTCTTTTTCTCTTTTTTGCAGCACTTTTTGGTTTGTGCCACCTCATTTGGTAGCCCACCTACCATTGTGACTTCCCCAAGGACCCTCCCAAACTCTATACTTTGGTTTCTGGTGTCCTAGGATAGCCCTATTCAAATAATAGAGCTGAAGGAAGGTTTTTGCTATGTTTGTAATGTTCCTAATGAAAACAATTGCAGCTGTGGTTTGTACACCAGTGTTGGGGTTGGTCTGTCTGCTGTTGATGTTTTCCTTGTACTCAGGGGTGAAAATATGGCGTCTCTCTAAGATGCCCTCATGCCAGCAGGGAACAAGGCCACCTTGTCTTGTGAGCCCAGGAGATCTTGTAGGCAGTGTTCATTTTAGAATGACCTTTATCAGAGGAAAAAGTGTTTGGGGGCTTTCTAAATGTACTTGAATGTTCCCACCGAGATGAAATTTGGTTTCGTATTTTCCCCTTGTGAAAATTAATAAAGGGAAACCTCATTTAAAATGGAGTCAGGAGGCCAGAGAGGGGAG